AAGGTGATTGGTGCATTCAAACTATTCAACAGGAAGTTTACAATTATACTAGGAAGTGTATGAATATTTCGAGGAACTTGATCAAATGAATTGGTCAGTCCGAGGTAATGTATTGAATCAATATTTGAGGAACACTTCAATTGGAACGACAGTAAAGAGTGGAGGTTCAATTTGAGCTTCCCTTGAATGTCGATGTTTGAATAGCTGGAGGGTTACGCCTGTATTCTAAAAGCACACTCACACTTAAAGAGTGGGGGTTCAATTTGAGCTTCCCTTGAATGTCAATGCTGTTTTTGAATAGCTGGAGGGTTAGTCTCGTACCTTATACTAAAACTGTCTGTACCAGTGTGGGTAGTACCAATGTGAAAATGCTGTGCTGAGTGGTTATATTACTACCTTAAAAAACAAGCAGAAATTCGACGTTTCGAGCGAAGGCCCTTCGTCAAGAGTTAACTCTTTGAGTGTGAGTGAGCATTAAGAATGCAGGCGAAAGGCTTTCTAAGGCAGCCACCTTATGACTCATGTCTGATAACGGAACACATCTACGATGGAAGGGTCAGTTATTTGGGGGTTAATCCCAGCCCACCCTGTCAACATTTTTCGCGGGAGAAAACCCACGACTTTCACATCGACTCTTTTGACATCGACCCCACGCTCGAATCGAACTCACGCTCTCAGAGGTGAAAGGTATTTGCTCTGACAAGGGCGCTACCAAATCCTTTTGAACTTATATTTTCTCATATTTTAGTTTATGTTTTTCTATGTAAAACCCAGTTTATCTTACTTTCTAACCCATATTACATTCAGGGATCTTTCTGATGGTCAGTTAAGCTCAATGCTGGAACGACTTTTCTTGGAGGATCATGGAACTGTCAAGGTTAGTTTTTGTGAGGTTAAACCCTAGTTGAACGAGGATAAGTATTGATAAGAGTTGATAAGAGTTGATGTGAGTTGATGTGAGTTGATGAAAGTGGATGAGACTTGAATATTCAAAAATGATTTACAGTCAAACCGGTTGTTCTCTTGCGAGCAACATTGCAATATTGTCCCACAATATTGCAATTTTGATAGACAGATTGCTCTGAGCAATTTGCAAGTGACGCGAACAAATTGCAAGTTGAAATTCACAAAAGATTTGTAAACAAAGCCTCTGATTGGACTGCAATCAAATAGCCTGAGCAACTGGATTGGTGCTCCCCTCTTTCCATAGCCTCTTTCTTATAGTCCAATCAGAGGCTTTGTTTACAAATCTTTTGTGAATTTCACCTTGCAATTTGTTCGCATCAGTTGCAAATTGCTAAGAGCAATCTGCCTATCAAAATTGCAATATGTGGGACAGTATTGCAATGTTGCTCGCAAGAGAACATCCGGTTTGACTGTAATAGCAAGTGTTCCGACTGTATTTAAACACCTCAAGCTACGGTGCAGAGAACAGCCAGAAAAAGTTCAAAACGTCAGTAATCTTCATTATTTTATCGCTATTCCTAGTCGTATCTCTGGAATGACAATGAGGTTGTTGTCAAATGGTTTGAAAGCGACATGGCGAAAGAAGAAGGATCAGTGATCGCTGAAAATATCAAATGGATCAAACGAGATTCTGTATTGAGACAGATCAAATCGTAAGTCTGTTCAACAATCAATCAAGAAACGTTTGATGGAACTAAGGGACCGGTCATAAAGTAACTGCTAGGGTGGGCTGGAGTGATTTGGGATGGGCCATGGAAAATCTTTGGGCAGTTTCGATGGGCCGCCAATTTTTTTGTATGTCCAGGGTTGGGCCACCAAACAAAAACCCATGCACGTGTTTACTTCAGAAAATAAAGATATTAATAATAAAAGTAAACAAAACTATCCACATTATCAAATGCAAATGATACTATTGAAGCCAGTACTTTAATTATACAACAAGAAGAAGTGGTCGAATCACAGTAAATACAACCAACTGGAGAGCAGCTCAGTATCGTAATTGGTGTTGAATGTGTTGGTCAAGCTTGGTGGAATTATGTGTGTCAATACAGTGTGCCGGTGTATATTTACAATGTTCATACCTGCAAGTTTTTTTTATTATAAAAGTGTATTTTCCCAATTTAAATTGGGTGGGTCATAAAATTTTTTTGTAAGATTAGATGGGCTTTGAAATTTTTATCTACATCCTAAGATGGGTCACCAAACTTATTGGCAAAATTTGTGATTTACCTGCAGCCCACACTAACAGTTACTTTATGACCAGTCCCTAACTGCCTAACACTGCGTCAGTTCTCTCAAACATTTCTTACAAATCCATCTCAAACTCAATAATTCATGATAAATTAGCCAACCATATTGCTTTATTTTGCTCACATGATAATACTGGATACCTGATGAAGTATATAGACCCATTGCACATGACGTCACAGCGCCGGTGACGATGCATCTGGAGGACAAATTAGCAATCTATGCATAATATAACTTCTGTAAACAAAGCAAATTTTATAATAATTTTGTATTAAAATGGTTAATTTTTGCGCTGTATGTGGTTGGTGTACCCGAACAGATATTGTTAGGGAGCATCTGGAGGACATTCTAAGGATTTGTGACGTCAGTGCAATGGGTCTATTGAAGATTAATTCAGTCCTAGGACTGGATCAAAATTAGTTCACCTCATTTTAAGTAGTGATTTATTCGTATGGGATGTCATTTCAAATCCTCCAATTCGGACTGGACAAGATCATCCAGACTTGATCAAATTTCGCGGCTTGAAATCTAGTCCAGTCCTCACAGTCGGATTAGAAATATTACACTGTTTAACACTGAGTAAGTTCCTCAAACATTTCTTACAAATCCTTCAAAACTTAGAATTTCCCTATGCAAAATTCCTACTGTGATCACAAACTTTGGTAGTGTAAACCAGCCTTCACAGTTGTAAACCAGGCATCAACTATTTCGCTGACCTCAGAATGACATTTCGTCAAAACTTTTTTTCAAGATTGGTTTAGAAACAAATTTGGAGTAGGGTTAGGTTAGGGTGAGAGTTGGTGTTTGGAGTAGGGTTAGTGTTAGTAAAACCGTTGCTTTGTTACGTTTTGTCACTCTGAGGCCAGCGAAATAACCTTCCTGTAAACCATTTCCTTAGGCTGGTCCAAGAGAATGCTGATGTTGCCATGGATTCAATCATTCATATCACGCAACAGATGTCTCAAGCTAAACGAGCCGAGGTTGCTAGGATACTGGAAGCGTTTGATTCAACGAAACCAACGAACGGTAATGGGAATGGCAGTGGTAGCGAGAGTTTGACTGAATGAGTGAATTAGTCTCGACTGGTGTTCCGAGTGTGCTACCAAGCAATAAAATATGACGGAATCAGAGTATGGCCGAGAGAGCGTATATTTCACTTACTGTTTTCATTCACGATCCTCAACCTTGATGTTATCATTTCAAGCTAACTTTATTTATACTGGATAACTCGATCAGTTCTAAACTGTTCTTCCTAACCATATTATTTTTTTATGATACTGCTGAATGGTCGTCGCTATAAAGGGGATAGACGAGGTTTTGGAACTGATAGAGCTATCCAGTATAAGTTTAGTTTTAGGTTTCCTCCTGTAGTAACACTGGATCAATAAGAGATGACTCTTACTGCACCTCTAGGGAGAACAGTTTAGAACTGATTGAGCTATCCAGTATAAATAAAGTTAGTTTAGTTGAGTTTAGGTTTCCTCTTGTAGTAACATTGGATCAATAAGAGATGATCCTTACTCGACCTCTAGGGAGAACAGTTTAGAACTGATAGAGCTATCCAGTACAAATAAAGTTAGTTTAGTTTAGGTTTCCTCGTGTAGTACCACTGGATCAATAAAAGATGACTCTTACTGGACCTCTAGGAAGAACAGTTTAGAACTGGTAGAGCTATCCAGTATAAATAAAGTTAGTTTAGTTTAGGTTTCCTCCTGTAGTAACACTGGATCAATAAGAGATGATCCTTACTGGACCTCTAGGGAGAACAGTTTAGAACTGATAGAGCTATCCAGTATAAATAAAGTTACTTTTTAGTTTAGGTTTCCTCCTGTAGTGACACTGGATCAATAAGAGATGATCCTTACTAGACCTCTAGGAATCACACTGGAATCTTTAGTATCCATGAAAGAAAACAGTGAATGAATTGTGGTTTTGTCTGCCCTAATATCTTGTACTAGCGAAACAAATCCAGATTGATTTAAAAAACAATGAAGGTTCTGGGGACAATGAAATGTACAATAAATAGCTAGATAGGATTATGATATACTATATGTTATAGATATGAAATTATAGTTATTTAAAAAAAATGCTGCGGTAATTTCAAAACAGCACGATCGTGCAGCAGCAGATGGTGGTTAATTCTCTGGAAATAATAATTATTATTTTCATTATATGTAGTGGTTTTGTATTTGGTGATAAATATAGACATCAATATCGCCCCCCTCCCCAATGGAGCTTGGAATCATTTGAAATACTTCATGTAATGTAACGTATCGTGTCCATCAAATTTTAGTCTTCCCGCGCGCGGGAAAATTGAATTTCACAAGGACGCCATTGGGAAATTTTCATCTATAAAGTTCAAGAAAAGACTACAAATTAAAGCGTAGAAACTTCGTCAAATTCGTCAACAAAGAAACGTAGCTTCCCTTCAAAGCTCAACAGAAACCTAAGGTATGTAATTATCCTGTTTTATAGCGTTTATTAAAAGATGAAGTGTTTCGCACAAGTATATTTAAAAATGGCGAACATTTTCACAACCAGTTCTACCAGTATTTCTTTCGAATTTTCTTAAGATATTCTTGCTCTATAGTAAAATACTAGTGCTCTACAGTTCTATAAAACTTTCTATGTATGTGTTGCGGAAAAAAATGAAGTTAAAATGTACATTAGGGCGAGTGTTTGAACCCGTTTATTTGCTACGTTGAAACTGTATTTGTGTCAATTTGTTGTTGCTTGTTCTTCAGTATTAAATACTCTCCATGTCAGTTTGAAATTCCTCAGAGGAGTGCGAGAAAGTTGATAGGGTTTCTATGTCTTCTATGCACAAGAAAAAGAATTCACTTAGAAAAAGAATTCACTTAATAAACCGTCTCCTTGTTGTTGTAACTTTAGCAAATTCTCGCGGCTGAACAAGAATTCTGCAGAGGAACTGTAGCAGTTCATACGATGCCTAAATAAACAGAATAATGGACCATTAGGTATTGGAAAGACTCTCCCCTTCACGAGTAAAATTGCCTGGTGTTTAAGGCCGAGACACACGCGATTCGACTTTCTGATCGATATCTTTGATCCTGGTTAAGGTTTTCCAAATATTTAGAAGCACTTGTAACATTTTGAGTTATTTGGTCTACATATCTTTTAAAATTTTCTTTCATTGACTGTTTTATTAACTTTCAAAACCTGAAAAATCGCGCCGCGTTGTCGAATCGCGTCCGGTGCGTCTGGGCCTTTAATTATATGCATTATCAGTATACGATATAGATCAGTGCATTATTTTTTCGCTTAGGGACTGAGTACGAGTTAAAGTAAGTTTAGTAAAATTCTAAAGATAATGCAGCTTAATGGGCGCCTGGTGATCAACTTGGAAAGTTATAAAATTACATCTGATAACTGTAGGTTGACCATCATGATTGGTGCTTTAATAGGTCTTAGTGAAACCATCATTCCATCAACTTACCAGTGAAAGTGTTCTTCACAACAAAGGACATTTGTGATAGCTTGAAGCCCTCGATTTGACCTGCGTTCAAATTAAAAATATGGGTCATTCCAGAAAACATCCGTATAACCTTCCCCACGGCGGAAACTGGAACTTAACCCCCCCCCCCCGCCTCCGGATGTCTTAATACACTTGCTATTTTCAGAAATAAAATGTTCTCCCCTCCCCCTCCGGATGGCAGAAATTTGCTCCGTGGGGGAGTGTGGATCTTTTCTGGAACGACCCAATATAATGAATTTTAATAGAACTGTACATTTGATACTTTGAAATGTCTCAATTTATACTTATTTATTTATTTATAACTACTTTACAATGAACAAAACGATTGAAGGTACAGACAACAGGACTGAGGAGTCCCAAATTAAGTCCTACCTACGCATTACATTGACATTGTAAAACAATAGAGACAGGGTTACAAACTTTAACAAAGCTACAACACAAGATTACAACACAAGATCAATTCGTTCCAAACGATCTTTACACTTCTCCAAAATTAATATAAACATGGACCGCCCATATATTGCAGTCATAGATATCTTATATACACTAAATAGCGCATCTCTTTTAGTAAAATTGAAGCCAAGAATATACCAGCGGTTACCCACATTTGAATAGATGGCGGCCATGTTGAAGTTTTCCACTCGCTAATAAACGCTTAAAAAACAACAATAACTTTCATCATTTGAATAGTTTGAAAATGTATTTGGAATAGGTTTAACTTAATGTTTAAGTTCCCTGTTTAAGAAATAGAAAACATACGAGTCTTCTCATTTTATGGGAATATCCTGAGTCTGCAATCACGGCTTCAATTTTTGAATTGAAGAATAATTAGATGCACTATCTAGTGTATATAAGATATCTATGATTGCAGTCCTTTCTGAGTTAACTACCTTAAAATGAAGAGACCTGAAAATAGAAACTGAAACGAACATAGCCAAGAAAGATAGAAGTCTTGGAAAATTTCTTACCACGTGGCGTTTATGAGAGAGAGAGTACTGTTTATCAAATATAGCCTATCGAGTATTCTCATTTCATGGGAATATCCTGAGTCAATTTTTGAATTGCATAATTAGATGCACTATCTAGTGTATATAAGATATCTATGATTGCAGTCCTTTCTGAGTCAACCACCTTAAAATGAAGAGACCTGACAATAGAAACTGAAACGAACATAGTCAAGAAAGATAGAAATCTGGGAAAACTTTCTTACCACGTGGCATTTATGAGAGAGTACTGTTTATCAAATATTTTACTCAGACATTGAGGACAAACCAGGAGTTCGTTAATATTCACAACATTACAGGATGAGTTCGAACATTTTAACTAAAAAATAAAATAGGATACAAGTTACTAGAAAAATATTGACAAAATGACATATTTGTAATTGTGGGTTTCATTGTTTCAGCAAGGAGTTGCGCTTTGCAATATTCTGTGTTGTATAAAAATTACAGCATATGTCCCATAGTTTTTGCCAAAGATGGTAGTTTTCACTTACTAGTTTTTGAAGTTTATGTGAGAAGAGTTTTGTGTGAGTTGGGAAGTTTAGTAAATGTTCAATTAAATGTCCACGGCCGTCACACAGTGTCAGTCTACAACAAAGAAATAAATGAAAATCTTAGTCAGGCTAGGAGGAAGTCAGGCCACGTTTTGAGGCTACAAAGTACACCTGTTTTCGGCCAACCGTGTGGGGTTCGTGGCCATGAAGCCTGGTTTCCATATTGTCGTAAAGATTGAGTCAAGATCTTTCTCATCAGCCAAAATACAACATTTGAGAACTGAAAATACGTGGAGTGATTATAACTAGAGGATACTTATGATTTATATGTGGTTTACCGATACAAATTATTATATATAAACTGACTCTATTTCTATACGACCATGATTACGACCATATGGAAACCAAGCTGAAGTACGCCTGTTTCCGGCATACCTGATAGCCACGCCTGTTTTTGGGCAAAGCATGCCTGTTTTCCAACATGAGCTCCACCTTTGAATTTACTATATGAGTAAATTCTTAAACACGTCCGAATTTATCATTGTGAGATCTTCAAGATTTTCAAAAAAAAATTTAAAAAAGTTTTAAAAAAGAAAAAAAAAGTTTAAAAAGTTATATTTTCAAAAAAGTTTAAAAAGTTAGATTAGGGTTAGTGGTTATGGTTGTTGGGGTTAGGGTTAGTGTTAGATGCCGCGAATTTATCATTATGATAAATTGATCGAGGCTTAACACACATTTGCATATTGTTTCGTGTGTATAACTTACCTACATTCAAAGCAAAACGCCAAGTTCGAAGTATTACCACAATCACTGCAACTAACATTTTTTGAACGTTTTAACTGTCGACATCTAAAATTGGACAACGCTTAAATACTGATTAACAACGTAGTTATTGACTAGTTTTACCACTATATATAGCCAGGGCTCAAAATAACGGGAGAAAGGGTCTCCGGTCAAAATGATCGGTCAACTTGATTTCAGCTCGGTCAAAATCTGTTTTTGACCGGTCATTGATACGCTTACACTAACAGTGAAACAAACTATTAGAAACTTGTTTCGACACATAGTTTCATGTTTTAATTTCAGCAATCACATTAGAAGGCATGAAAATGTGGCAGGTCAAAATTACCGGTGAGGTAAAAAAAAAGTGATCGATCAAGAGGCATTTTTGAGCCCTGTATACAGCGTTGCTGCATGTGAAGTTATGACTTATGGGGGTCACATAGAAGTGACATACAAAAAAGTATCAAAATCATGCATGAATATATAGAAATACAATATATACCACATTGCGTGTTTATATGATACTATATATTTAATACTTACTGTAAAAACAAGTCCTGGACATCAGCACTTCTATGACTTACGTTCTAAGATGAAACCAAAAATGAATGAAAAGATTAGTTAATTAAAAGATAATTAAAATGCCCTGAATGCAATATGATTTTACTCACAGAGTGCTTGGCACTCAATGAGTTCATAATTATACGAGGTTCACCTTCACACTTGGTTGATGGTAATTTTCCATTGCAGTTTGTGGTATGGTACAATGATCTGTTAGATGACCACGCCTGTTGCATCGAGCACTACAGAAAAGTAAGGTAAGAGAATTACTGCGAACAAGTCAATTGTTACCACGGAGATATAAATAGCAAGTTGGTGGTCGAAGTTTTGTTAGGAGGAAGAACCAAGGTTAGCGTTGGTGGTTGAATGTGGGTGACTTTATGTCATTCAGAGGTTACCCCCAGTTCCTCCTCAGGTTTAAAAGAATTACAAAATGGGTCCTGAAGAAGAAGGGAAGGTCCGTACCCCCATCATTCCCGTGCTTACGCCTCCGTGTGGGTTAGGTTTATGACTCTAGTCTCGAAAACATCGTAAAATTACCCAAAGGCCATCTTGATTTATATCTTATCAACCTCTACCAATGTGAAGTTTAGTCCTTCCGTTCTTACCATAGAGAATCTGCAACCGGTCCACTGTTACCATAAAAAATCCGGAATAATCTTTGCATGTGATATCTTACCATGAATACGTTGTTAGAGCGGTTTTATGATCATAAACTCTCTCTGACTGTGAACTTGTTTCTTTATGAAATGATTTGTTTCGCATGTTTCTAAAATGAAAGACGTAACTCTAAAATAAGTAACTGGAAATTTTGAAACGACAATGATCTTCCTAAAATGTGTGTCAGTATACTAAAACGACAATTGGTGATAAAAACGTTTTCTAAAATGACCTTGATGTTGAAATTTCTGTGTCAACCTTTGTGCAGCTATCGTCTGACGAACTCTATATAATATTTAAAAACGCATTAATAATTCATGAGGAAAAGACAAATCACTGCCTTGTCGGTTGTTTTGATATGTGATAAAAAATCATGTTTATTTACATAAACTTTAGCCTTGATTTTCACGGCTTAGACAATGTTTATTTTTAAAATTTCTTCGCCAATAGCCGTTTTCACATTAGAAGACGGACAAGTCGTCTAGACGAACAAATCGTCTCAAAATCGTCTTTTAGTCTGTCAAATCATCAGATGTGAAAACGTGTCGGACAAAATTTTAGACGAACAAGTCGTCTGAATTTGTTCGACTACTTGTCCGTCTGTGAAGACGATTTTTGAGAGACGATTTGTTCGTCTAGACGACTTGTCCGTCTCTAATGTGAATAGGGCTATTGAACTCTTTAGATGGGTCGTTTTTTAGATGGGTCGTATATCTGATAAAGCACTCCTAAATAGTACCGGATAGCATTCACATTAAAATCTGTAGTAGCTGTTAAATTTCCTTTGCATTTGTTGCTAGCATTCACATATGAAAAGCGCGTTGTTAACATTTTGGCAATCGTTTGTAGTATATGAAGACAACATGGCGTTCTTTTCGTTCGTGCGGAACGCCCGGGTTTGCTTGTCAGAACTTTTGGCAGTAGAACATTTTTCCATAGCTGAGATTAAACATTGACGTATACCCATTATCGTCACGACAAATTTATATACAATTCTCATACGATGTAATCTTGAATGGTTGGTGAAATGTCATGGCTTGAAATAATGTTCCCAAAGTTGGAAGAGGTTATTTCGCTGGTCTCAGAGTGACAAAACGTAACAATGCAACGGTTTTACTAACACTAACCTTATTCCAAACACCAACTCTAACCCTAATTCTAACCCTGACCCTAACCCTCCAATCGTGCGCAGTTGTCTCGTAGTTCTGGCTCATATATATTTGTTAATTGTTGCTCACGTGCCTCGTCCTTTTGTGCACTTGCTAGACCAAGAAAGTCCACTGTTTCATTGTCAGAACTTTCACTGCTCTCTTCCTTCGGGGAACTGGAACCATCTTCATCTAATGAGCAAAAGATAATAAACTTTTCAACTCTTTCCATGTCTTGTGACTTAAATCATAATGCATCTTCTTTCAATAGTTTTTAAGCGAATCATCTGTCAATGTCTCTAATGTTAAGCCATTAATGTGAAGCAAGATATGCCTCCTTTTATTAACTTTTAAATTATCTCGTATCAAGCCTGCCCAGTGTGGATATACACTCAGAGTAACATCACAAGCATCTTATTCACCTGAGTACATTGCACCAACACAAGAAAATAACTTTATCTCTTGTAGAAAACTATTTTACTTATCAAAGAAGGAATTGACCAAAAAACAGTCTGTTCATAAGCATATTTAACCACTGTCTACTATTAGATCAGTGGTGTTAAGAAGCAATGTGCAGAAATGTACTTCACCTCATTTATGGATATGTCATGTATATTAAGGATCGACCACTTATAGCATTATTTCTTTCACTTAATGTAAAGAATGTTGTGATAATTTTGTTGAAATATACAAAACCTTTTTGCCAGCATTCTGGCAAAGGAAGTGGTTCTTTAAGATCTTCCAATGCCACAGTGGGAACTGGATATTGGTCTCCACCATCTTGCTTCTTCTTCTGTTTCCTCCGTCCTTTTCTCTTCTTTCGTTTTGCCGAGCCTTGATCATGAGTCTCATCTTTGAAATAATGGAGTCATGAAGGTGTAATACTTCAAAATTTTACAGAAATAGGGTTGTGGACTTTTACTCAGGGATGGATTTACTGGGGGGTGTGCAGTGGGGGGAGGGGTGCACCACCCTAGTCCTGGCCAGAGGTGGTGCAGCCCCCTTATTTTTCATGATAAAGCAAAAAATTATTAGAGGCAAAATGAGATACAGTAATTTTAGTAATAACATGATGATAATTAAGTGAACTGTGAACAACAATTCAAATACAGTAGTTAAGCAAGACTTTGCAGTAGTGAAGCAAGTTGATGGGTGGGCGGCACACATGACTGACACAACTCGGCACCAGAGCTGGCAGAGCATCCCCCCCCCCCACCAGATCATGCTGGATCCATCCCTGCTTTCACAATATTAGAGTGTCAGCATAAGTGGAAGCTGTTTTGTCAACCATGTGGGGAAAAAAACCCACCTTGCTTTCGTTTAGTATTTTCATGAGAAGCTTTCGTGATCAGATCTCCATAGAGCGCACCCAAGTTATTTCCTATCAATAAAAATGCAATAAAAGGCATTTCATGTGACATAAGTGATATTGATTTGCTGCATAGAAAGTGCAAACAAATCAACTATTTTACCATGTTTCCTTGATGCTTCCTCTTGTTCAGTCTGCCCAACATCACCAGTGGCTAGTTTATATGCCTGATAGAGGGAAATATTTTAATTACGACAGCTTTAATCCTCACTTATGGTATTAGATGCAGCTCTTTTGTATTTGTCACCTAATTGCCAGACAACAAAATATCATTTTGATCTTGGTCATATAAAAAAGTGCCCCTTTTGGTCAATGCCCAGGGTCCACTTTCGAAATGTTTCTGCAGCCTCTGCTTTTTATTAATCTAGTATTGTATAAATTTCATGGTCTACACTATAGATATCATTTAATTTGCTAAATGCGAATTGTATTTTGAGCCTTCCTAACTGTTGTCTACCTTGCTGTAGCACAAATGTGCCACAAACTTGCACATTGTGTGTGGGGAATACGTCCTGACTAGAGCCAGGACACTAGAGCTATGCTAGGAGATTTTACGCTATTTTTTACCAGTTATGATTGTACTTGTAAGTACGAGCCAATCCTTGGATCTGGTCCTATCAATTACCTGTAAATTTCCAAGAACTTTAGATAACTTAAATTCCTTTGCATCTGCCAAATCAGAAAAATATTTCAACCACAATTAATGTACAATACTTTCCATATCAGGAGTAAAATCATCTGGCATTAGACAGAGTGAAATAACAAAATAGGTCACATTAGGGCAGTCTGCAACTTGATGGGATAATAAGAATACTGCACTACACTTGTAATAATAAAAATGGCACATTAGGGTGATTGCATCTTGATGAGTCGTTTTATACTGTAAATAATGCACTCAATTTTTAATACACACAAAATACAGTGTTACTGTTTACATAGAAAATACTTACATATATAAATACTCACATATAAATGCTGGCGTTTTCTTGTTGATTTCTGAATTCATTTCGCACAAAAAAATTAGCAATCGATTCTAGAAATTTGTTATAATTCTCATGACATATTTCACAGTGTGTTTACAATTTTATACAAGAAAAGGTACTTTCCCTAGAACCCAGGACTACCCCGTCAACCGGATATGAATGCCAGTTTTCCACGTGTATTTGTTTACATTTGGCATTTAAAATATTTGGCGTTTAAAATAATTTCACGTATTTATAAGTATTTTTGTTTGATCCCAATCAATGATGAGTGATTGTTTCAATATTTTTCAAATATGCAAATTACTTCGATACGCTTCATAGATTAATTCTACGTTTGAATATTATGATTAACATACGTGTACAAATGACTGGCGAAAAATGGTGATAAACTTTCTGTTTTGGTGCATTTTCAAAGCACGTTTTCTACTGTAAACGTTGGGAATTTAACTGGTACTTTCTGTACCGAACAAAAGGACATTGTCAGGTTGTCAAACCGTGGGGCAAGAACGATTTTATAGCAAGAAGTACTAATAATAATACTGACTAGTTTTTAGGGGTTAGAGGTTGTGTTATGTTGTACCATCGTACTGTGGTTTAAAATTGAATTTTGCACTGTAAACATCGGTATTTTTACTTTCACATTGTCTACAGAACAAAGGGTCGTTGAAGGGTTTAATTAAAAAAAAGGGATTATAAGGTTTTCCACGAAAGATTAAAAACAACAAGAAGGTTTTGTGTGCTGGTTAAACTACGTATACTGGAGTTCTGAAGAATTGTTTTACAGTATAACCTCAAACGATTCTTAAACATTGCATTTTGGACAAAATTAAATCTTCATAAAAGAGTAAACATTGACGTGGCTAAACGAAAATTTGAAAACTTTTGAAGCTTAAAAGCAGTAACAATTTACCAGGAAATACAAGCTTATTTCAAACAGCAAAATGTCTTTCAATATACCAAGTATAATCGAAAGCAAACGTGATGGTGAAGTATTAACCGATACCCGGATCAACTTCATAGTTGAACAAATTGCAACCAAGAAAATCCACCCTGTACAGCTTGGAGCATTTCTTATGGCAGTTTATCTGAAAGGCATGGACAAAGCTGAGACGATCAGCCTCACCAAAGCCATGATACGACATGGGGAAACCTTGGAATGGCCACAAGACTGGAAGCATTTGGTGGTTGATAAGCATTCCACAGGAGGAGTGGGGGATAAAGTTAGTCTGCCTCTAGCACCAGTGTTGGCTGCCCTTGGTTTAAAAGTTCCTATGATATCTGGCCGAGGACTTGGATTTACAGGTATGGTGACGTTTTACATCCCAGTTGCATATAGGATTTGCTTGTCACCACATTGAATTTAACAATTTCAGCAATATCTTAGCACTTGTGTGCAGACATTACCCCTTTGTGTGCAGACGTTACCCCTAATGACTCACACAACGTTGATGTTGTTAAAAGTGAAACTGGTATCGTACCACCATCTGCTGCACGTGCAATAAGCACACTTGTGCACATTATTGCAAAACCTATCAATTATATAAAACTTTTCCATAGTGCTGTATGCTCTGAATGCACACTTGTTTTCCTGTTCCCTAGCTGGTCTTCCCTACCAGCTTTTACATCAAATAGACGTGAAACATAATTCATTGTCTGGTACCAAATATTTTTTTTAAAAATTAACCTCAGGTGGTACATTGGATAAATTGGAGTCAATCCCTGGTTTCAACGTAAACTTGACAACTTCTCAAATCTGCGACGCTGTTGAAAAGGTTGGCTGTTGCATTGTGGGACAGACAAAGGAAATTGTACCTGCCGACAAGGAGATGTATGCAGCGAGAGATGTGACTGCAACAGTCAGCTGCATTCCTTTGATTGTTGGTTCAATTATAGGAAAGAAAGCTGCAGGTATTAATTTGTCCTGTATAATATACTACTTGCACAAGTAAACTCAGAACAACTACACATACATGCAACAATATATAAAATACAATACAATACATAACCACACAATACAACTGCAAAATCAACCATGCTTTAAGTTCACAACAGCTGCATGCAGTACGCCTTTTATTATTTTACGGCATTACATTAACGTAAGGCATTTAAAATGTGCTAATGAATTGATAACATATTTTTTTCCCAGAGCATCCTACTGCGTTAGTGCTGGACGTGAAATGTGGCAGTGCAACCTTTATGAAGAATGAAAAGGATGCTCGAGAACTGGCTCAATGGTTGGCCAACACGGCAAATGGTCTTGGGATTGCGACCACAGCAGTTTTAACGAAGATGGACGAGCCAATAGGAATGATGATAGGCAACTCTGTAGAGGTGATTGAGTCCATTCAATGTTTGCAAGGAAAGGCACCGAAAGATTTGGAGGAATTGATTTGCACACAAGGTAATATGAAATAATATTGAATACAATTTGGATGGATTTATAATATTTTACCCCCCCCCCCCAAAAAAAAATAAAAAAATTGCAACCTCCCAAAAAGTCCCCCCTCCCCGCAAAAAAATTAATTAAATAAGACCAAAAATCTCGAAATTTTCTGGGGCTTTTCCCCCTTACCCCCATTAGCAACCGTACCCCCAGACCCCTGCTGCGCAGGTTGCTCAGTGGCACTTAACATACATCCCATCACTCACCTAACTGTACCTGCCAACTAACATCAAAATTTATTTTCATTCAGGGGGAAATCTATTGGCTTCAAAAGGCAAAGCTGCAACACCTGAAGAAGGCTACAATATGGTGCAACAATCACTGACCAATGGCAAAGCATTAGAAAAATTCCATGAAATGTTGCTAGCACAACATGTTGCACCCAATGTTGCCAAAACGTTGTGCGACCCAACAACGGATCTTTGGAAGGTCTTGCCTATTGAAAAACTGCAAATGGAACTAACTGCAGAAAGTGATGGACTGGTCTTGTCTATTAATGCATTGGCCATTGCAAATGTGTTGACAGAGCTGGGCGCAGGACGGTTGAAACCGACAGATAAGGTTAACCATGGCGTGGGGATGGTGCTCAAGACTCGTAAAGGCGGGTACTTGACAAAGGGTCAGGTTTGGGCAGTGCTCTACCATGCAGAAGCATTAGACGAAAATCATTTCGATGCTTTGAAAGGTGCGCTGAAGATTGAACCAGGAAATGGTGAGAAGCCGATTGAATCAAGAATCATTGATATAATAAGACCTAATTAAGGGAAATCATTGATATAATAGGGAGTTTCAGCTTCACGTTTGTGGGAACTGCAAACGGCAAGGCCGACTTTTCTTGGCATGATTTTCGTTTCAATTATTCACCTGACAGTTCATATGCTCCTATAAATTGATGCACAGAGAATAAATAGTAATAATTAAATATAGTAAATTTTTTAATTTCTCATCAATATTATATTCAAATTATGCACTTGTAATATTTAATAAAATACATCAAACCAAAGTTGTTAATATTAATTTTTTTATTTACTAATAAACTTGAAATTAAAACTGCATATATACGGACAACGCTTTAACAAGACTGTAAAAGTTCATTCACGCAGGAGCCAGGGTCTTTAGTTCTTTAATACATTGAGTGATAGTTTGTTTTTCCTAAAAAGTAAACAAAAGAACCATCAAGCATATGACGATCACATACTCCCTACCTTTTTCTCACAAAATACATAGCAAATTCAACCAAAACAACTTCAATGCTACTGCACTTAAACTTGATTCAAGATTGAGTTTTGGGGTTTGTTTAACGGCTGCACCATACAACCCCATGTCTGATACTCTGATCACATTCACATGAGATATTTAAGGAGGACGAGTTGGGGCTTATTCCTGGGTTGACAGGCAGGGTCTTAGCTAGAGGGCCGTGTTATCGCGGCAAAAAGTGGAAAAACATGGCTAGATAAAATGAACGCGGCTTCACTATTTATATAAGGCTGTGTAGGTTCATAAACTAAGGTGGTGCTACAGTACTTACAACAGACAGAATTTCTTCCAATTTACGTTGTAAGAAAGTTTGTAAAATCTACTGTTGTTGTTGTTGAAATTGGCAAAAGTGATTTGTGATGTTTTAATGTTTTGATGGATAATGGGAACTGTATGGTGTTAAAATGGTTTTAAATACCTCCAAATAAAGCATAGAACAACCACAGGAATAGTCTGTTGTTGGGGAGTATAACTATAGTACCATGAATTTGGCTATTCAAAGTAATTGACATGTGCACACCCTGGTCATTAGGAACATGCCCAAGATCTAAAATCCTAGCTAAGACCCTGTTGGCAGGTTCATTACCTGTGCTGGTGTGATACTCTTAATAACGGCATCCTTCACCCAGGTTACAATGTGTTCTTGTAAAAGTCGTTTCTTAAGATCCTCTAATTCTACTTGATAATCCTAGGAAATGAAATAAAAATTATTCATCAAACATGTTAACAATTTGAGCAAACACTAAGTACTGTATTATTGTCGTGAATAATAAACGTAGATCAAGCCATCTTTCAGATAGCAACCTTGCTTCACAACCACCAGAGATTGAGAGAGATTTTCTTACCAAACGTTTCTTGACCTCGTTATGAACTTGATGAAGTCTGCTTCGGTATTCATGTTCTAACTCCATGACATTATTTTCCTATGAAAATCCATGCTTATCAATCAGTTCAATACAACACTTTGACTATATATAGGGTGTCCACCTTTTGGTGAAGGTGACATTCAAGGACTTTTCCAGGACTTTCAAGGCCCTTTTTCAGTAAATTCTAGGACCTAGAACTGAGAAAAATCTTTGATTTACCATAGCATAGATTTACCATAAATAATTCACTTTATTCAGCAATTTTAATCAAAATCACTAATGTTGGCACAGCTGGAGGTTAAGGAAATTAATTCCAGGACTTTCAAGGACTTTCCAGTCCTGGAATTTTTTCTTCCAATTCAAGGACTTTCTAGGATTTTCAAGGACACCCTGTATATAGCCTGGATTTCATATGTGCATGAGTGACATTAAAGCCTTAGTAATATCTCATTGACGAAGGCAAGGCTTTATATTTATAGCCAAGGTACTTTCCAGAAGTGTGAAAGAGCAATTTTATTGTGATATGCAAACCCTGTAAATCTTTGTGAGTGGACAATATTTTGCATGCTACTTAAATTCACTACTGATAGCCATGATATCTCAATAAATTTAATCATCACAAAATTACAAACCCTGATTATTTCAAACACATCTTTTCCAACTTTAAGCATAGGTTCAACACTTTCTTGCAACTTGATCTCTTCCTCTAACTGAGCCATCTTAGCTATACGACCTTGGTTTAACTGTTCCAAAATTTCCTTTAAAAATAAGAAAATTATATGACTAGCTGCTTTGGTTGTAATTGATCTCTAACCCATTGACTGCCAGAGCTCTCTCGCTGATGAATAAATCGTCTGGCATTAGAGAGGGGGACATTGGGATTTACGGTATGGCGGTATTAGCTTATTTTTCTTACGGTATTTCGGTATTTTCCTTGAAAAATTGCGGTATTACGATATTGGAAATCTTGCGGTACATGGTATTTGCAATTTGGACTCAAAAACTGCGGTAATTGACAAAATTAGCTTACGGTATTACGGTATTGAATACCCCCCAATGCCCCCCTCATTAGACAGTAAAATAATAAAGTAAAACTGTCTGGCATTAGACAGAGTAAAATAATAAAGTAGGGTGCATTAGGCTTATCCTCATCAATGGGAATCCTCTCACGAAATCCATCCTTGTTTCCATGTATACCTGTGCATAATCATCCAACAACTGGCTAACGGTTGGGCCAGCTTTCTTGTACAACCAAGCCATGGTCGACAACAACACTACGGCAAGGAGCGTCTAAAATGAAAATCAATGGACAGTGAATTTCAGGAAAATTTTCTGTAATGGAATGTATTTCAACACAAAAAATATGGTTGATACCTCTTCATGAAGAACGAGATATTCTTTAGACAAAATATAAGCACCAAGCCCAATTCCAAGACACCAGGTGCCTGATTCTCCAGTTTTCTTGAAAAGTTCAGCTCTTACTTGTGAAAAGAAGTCTGTCGGCATCACTTTAATACCTAGCAAATTAAAATGTATGCAAATGATCACTGTATAGTGAAATGCCCAAACAAAAGAAACACCAAAGTTGCTAAATGTAAAGACACCTACCAGTCGGATCTATTCCAAAACGATTGCGGGAATCGCTTGTTGAGAAAGATCTGTTTAGAGCAACAAGCCTAATAATATCAGATAACAGAAATAAATGCGCGGCTAGGGACAGACGATGCTTATTGGAATAACTTATCAATATTTACGTATAAACGAGACACTTTAACCTAGATCTGGATAATCTGTTGGGACAAACTAGGGCAAAAGAAATATAGATGAATAATCTGTGTATAAACATGGCAAATGGACCATACGTCAAGATTAAAAGATCAATGCAGTTGTCTACTCAGTTTTTGTGCATAGTTTTTCTTGACGTATGATCACCATGTATAAACATCCCATTATACAAACTGACAAACTACCAGAAAAAAACAAATATGGTCGAACATTTAAAAACCTCAGTTGCATGCAATATTTAATAACGAAACAAAAATATTTACCCAGGTCTTGCAAGACATTTTAATGAAAAGACAGCTTGATTACCTTTAAAGAAAGCAAATTTATTCGGTTACCTGGTAATAGCTAAGCCTTCAACGTACATTTGAAAGGAAATTATAACTGACCCAACACAAAAAAATGTACTTGTTCAAAGTTGCATAATTACTTTTAACAACGTTGCATGCGAAAACGAAAGACATATTACTGTTCCTGAAGTACTTAGCGAGAATATAAAACGCACCTTTGGGCAAAAGACAGCTAATTCGAGAAAGCATTGCGATTTGAAAACACCAAAATCTCTTTCTTTTCCAAAATGGCTGACCAAGACCGAATAGCTTTGCAGTGCTTCCATTTTCAAAATCAAAATTTCTCATTTTTGTCATCAAAATTTCTCTAAATTCCTTAAATTGTATACGTTATTTCCTTGAAAATTCCTTGAAATTTCATTAGGCGGTTTGCAGACCTTTGCAGTGCTTTTGTAGCAATACAAAGGATTTAATCAATTTTAAAGGCACAAAATAGCACAATTAACAAAGATAATTGCTAGCTAAAAAACCACAGGCTATACCTTTCCATTGATATTTAACAAATATAAACCATTTTCCGTGTTGATATACAGTTATATCAACACGAGTGGAATTGGGAAAACGAGAAATTGTATGGAAACACGACGCCCGAAGGGCGGAGTGTTTTCATACAATTTCGAGTTTTCCCAACTTCCACGAGTGTTGATATAACTATA